GTCTCCATGACCCCAAGAGCAAGTTGCGACAACGAGGTCAACCCACTTCTATAAACTTTAATTTTCTTTAACAATCCCCGACTTTTCTTACTTTTCGTTTATAATTGGGCTTTAGAGACTACTAGCAGATCATTTATATACGATGTATTCATTATATTTCGTTTAGGGTGACGAGGGGACTGGTAGTTGATATATGTGATGAAATGGAGATGGAAATAATCTCAAAAATTCTGACACATCAAGAAATATCACACATAAACAGATATGCAAGGATACACAAGACCCTAAAAGTGAATGAACAATTAGTCCTTCAGGTGGGCAAAGAAGGACGACAATGATGATGGGAAGAAAACAAAATAACTATAAAGTGGAATGTATACTGTGAGACAGGACCACGTATCGTTCAGTACAAAAAGACTTAACTAAGTGAGTCAGTGAGTTAGTGCAATATATGCAGAGGAACGGCGAATTTGATGCATGCACGAAAAATTCAATCATAAGAAAGGATGCACAACCACCAACAGCCTGATAGTCAAAAACAAGTATGGAGCAACATGCAGATAGGAAAAGTTTATATGGTTGAAACTCAATAAGTTAAAAGAAAGATCATCATAGTCGGAGAGACTTTCATATCGTATGAAAATGAATGAAGAAAAAATTCGAAGCTCTATCTCAGCAGAAAACGAAGGCTGATTTCCATTTGAAAGCAGTCGTTTGGCAGTCCACGAGACATCCTCCTTTATTTATCGTAAAAAAGAGCTGAGCTTTCATCCATCATATCATGGACATCATCACAACTGGAACTTATTCTTGTAAAAGTCTAACGTCAACAATAGATCAAGAAGACCATCCGGCTCTATCATACCTCTTATATAGCCTTAAATAAGCATTTAAAAATGATTAGGCATAGATAGCTAGATAATGGTTTGGCTAATTATCTTTCAACTTGGTCTTGCTAATTTATCTTGAACGTGTATATGTATGTATGTGTGTGCAGGTGCGGGTGTGTGGGTGTGTGTGTGTTAATGTCTATACGCAATACCGGTCATAAATCAGACTGATCCAAAAAGGCGAATGTCAGGCTTTGATCATCATGCCTTAATGACCCAAGAAAAAGCCCTGATCGAGACTGCGTAAGTCCGTAAGAAAGTGTGGTTGAGATAATGAGATGTAAGCTTGTAAGCATGTGAGTCAGATTACGAAACCACCTGTGCTTAATCAGAGCATGAGAAAATGTCTCAGGCTGTCTTTATTTGACTGAAAGTGTATTCCTCAGAAGAAAAAGATTATTCTTAATCAGGCGAAAAGTATATTTAACAATAATTTACTTCAAAATTCCACATTTAGTTTTTTAACTATTGTCGGAAAGAAAAGTACAAAAAGTGCCAACATATATTGGCTTCATATAAACATATCCTCCTAGCTAACTCTCTTCTCTAATAATCATAACGTCCAAAAATAATTGGGATTTCAATACTTCCAGTAAATCGGTTATACAAGATGTAGTACTAGTAGCAGATTGTAGTCTCGAGACTCTACTTATGAACGAAAAATAAGTAATATAGTCGGTTGTCATAACATACATAACACTCCCACCAAAGAATATGATATGGCATATTGCCTGGCCTTCCTTGAAATTCACATATATCCTGTGACCCAAAGGCATTCGTGGTATTGCGATGTAGTGGCTAACGTATCGAGATTACACGCTGCATTCTCATGGTTCGATTCCCGCTGGGGGTGTTGATAAGACCTAGGCGAGGTACAAACTTCGGTCCAACCTGGATGAGAGCAACTTTTGGGAAACCAAGGCTATGTGAAATTCACAAGAAACGTCAACTCTACCCATATCATTGTGAAAAAATTAAACTACTAGTCCTTTATTATCTCAAAACGAAATAGGTGAATACATCTTATATAACTGATTTAGTGATAGTCTCGAAATCCCACTTATGAACAAAGAATAGGAAATAATTGCTGCCAGACAAGCTTAACTCATCTTCCGGAACGTAATTGGTCGTTAATTTGTGTAGTAAATAAACTGCAGCTGAATTTGCACACGAAATATTGACATTAGGAAGTCCATTTTTGTATCAATCATCATTAAAATAAAAAGTATACTTATTATTCCCAGTGCTGCCATGACGTCAGCTGTGAAATCTATCTTGCCATGCTTGTGATTGATACATAATCAGCGTTTTCACAATACTCCGTATATCTCCCCTTCCTGGTCTATAGCTTCACTCCTGACTATCACTCAAGTCACATAACTGTTATCCTAAACTTGAAGAGAAAAAAACATCATCCTTTCTTTTAAAATTTATCTTCCTGACTTTTACTTGCAGTCGCTTAAGAAATATATACTAAAAGCGCATACTTTCTTGAGTATCATTCGCTCAAGCATGTAAATATGTCGAGGAGCAATGACGGACCTTTCGGAATAAACATTCATTTTATTCTCATTGAGTGTAGAGGCCTCTTGAAAAATGCAACTTTCACGAGAACCCTAAGATCATGCCTGATTATGATGCCTATCGAGTCGAAAACATTTTAACGCTCATGTTGAACAGCATATCGTAAAATGCATGAGACTATTTTATTTCATTCTCATCAACTAATCGCCAAGTTCTTTTGATCAATTCCCTCTGAACTACAGACTGTCCTTAGTCATAATATATTAAGACCAGATTTAACGTACTCGCTTTTTGTAGCAGAAAGTCGCAATGATCTGTGGAGGATCCTATATAAGTTGAAAGGCAGAGTGAATCCTACTTTTGAGTTCATAGTGTCCTGTCAACCTAGTAGTCTTTGAACTACCAAGCTATGCACATACCAGTCATATGTTTAATCAAGATTACCTGACAGTTTCGGCCCCACAAGGCTATGCATGATTCGGGCATAATTTGCAACATCTGTGGCAAAAATATATTTCAGTCAATTACAATTTATAGTTTAGTTTTTGATACCATCAATAGATCGGAGATAAGAGCTGTATTCATCCTATTTCGTTTTAGGGGATGAATGACTGATAGTGTAATTTGCCCTTAATCTTATGAGCAGGCCTCATGTTTCATTGCATTTCACACAGACTTACTCTTAAAAGGCATCTTCATTCTAGAAATGTTCGACCTCTCAGCCTAGATGTAAATACAGTTTTGGAGGCAAGGTTATGTGAAATTCAATGGAAGCATGATGCCTACTCGTAGGATTGTGGGAAAATTTAACCATTAACCCTTCATAACCTTAAAAGAGATAGCGTGAATACAGCTCTTATGCTAGTTATTATCTACTGAAAACTTTGCCGAGCTATTCGCTATTGTCGAGTGCGAAATGGGCATATTCACGATGGTACAGGCCTATGAAGACGAATTCACAGTAATCAGAATTTCTACCATTACAATAAAATAAGAGTAAATCAGTCCTACTTATGAATTGGCTAAAAACTGCTCAGAAAAGCTGGGTTTCGAGGAATCTCTTGTTCTATAATTGCTGAGCTCACTTTTATTTTGAACTAAGTGGGCATGAAGAGATTCGTAGATTGAACCCACCAAAAGAAAAGGGTAGATTCCTCTTGGTCATCTATCGGTTGGACTTACTGGAACCTTCTTGCTGGAGTTGTCCCAGAGAAAATCTCTTCCGATTCCTATGAAAAGGCGCTAAGCTTCGTTTGCCATATCACTTGAAAGGCAGCATCAGAGCAGGGTATTATTCTTACAACCATATTCAGAAAAATGAGCCGTCGTCTTTCGTGGGGATCGACCTACCAATCTATCCATTACGCACCATAGGTGGAGACTGCAGTCCACTCTGGATGTGAATATCTTTATGGAATGCAAGGTTGTGTGAAGATTGATGAAAATGTAAAGTGTACTCATATAATTGTGTGAAAATTCAACTAGCAGTCCACTTATCATCTTGAACAAAATAGGGAAGATGTACCTAAAATATAAATGACATATTGGTGGTCTCCAAAACTTGCTTATAAACGAAAACAACTATGAAACTAGTGGTTTTAAGTAGAAGGATAACTTGAATTTACTATCTATTTTGCTGTCTTTGTAATTCTGGAACAGATAGATAAACTGCTGTAAGTTATTGAGCTTACTTCCATTTCTAATGAAAGTGTTTGGTGAACATATTCGAAGTTTGATTCCACCAGAAGACGACAGCGGATTCCTCTTGACGAGCTGTCAATTGGCTTTATTGGAATATTCATGCTGACACTGTTTCCGAGGTAATCTTCTTCGATTCTGGTGAAAACGTGATAAGCTTTCGTCCGTAATATGACGAAAATTAGAGTCAAGTTTTCTTGACTCGTTAGCTTAAATTTGGTTGTGACGATGATACGATGATACAGCCAGCCACACCTTCGGATTACCGCTTTACGCAGTAAAATACTCCAGGCTGGGAGCCAAAAAAAATAAAAAAACAAAATATACTTTTCTGCAGAATGTCGGCTAATTAAGGGTTTTGTGCTAGTAATGCCAAAATTAAAGATAATCTCATGATCAAAAATGTGATATTCGCTTCCTCTATTGTTGAAATCAAGACGCTTTTTAAAGCCTGATCCTAAACAGCCCATTCCATCCACATGTCACTTTACTGTTTGCTCAGGAACTACGTTCCTGTCTTCCCACCTTCCCTTATGAGCGCCGACTCTCGAAGATCGACACCCTTCGACTTGCGATAGCCTACATGGCCCTACTCTATGACATCCTAAACAACATGTCGCCGTTCGACCCATCCGCTCTGCCTGTGGCCATTGGTCCCCCTCGTCTTCGGAGAAAAATGGCAGCCCACCCGGAGACTGGCCGAGACGGAGGAGAACTAGCCAAACCGTCGGAGGATAGGCCAAGGACAGGGTTCAAGCAGACGCAGACCGAAGTGGCAGTCACCCGACTTTCCTCCATAGGCGCAAC